TCCCGATGTGGGACGTGGCGCGGGCCCTCGTTTGATGTTGGCCATCCTGGTGATGGTACCTGGATCCGTATGTGGTACCCGGCATGGTGTCATGGTCCCTCATTGGGTGTTGGCCATCCTGGTGATGGTACCTGGATCCCTATGTGGTACCCGGCATGGTCCCTCGTTGGGTGTTGGTATCTTGGTGATGGTACCTGGATCCTTATGTGGTACCCGGCACAGTGTCATGGTCCCTCGTTGGGTATTGGCATCCCAGTACCTGGATCCCTACGTGGATCCCTGGTGTTGGGGTCCCTTGGAGGACCCCAGGGCCCTCTCGGGGCCCAGCGCCGGTGCCAGCGTCCCCGCGGCGGCCCTTGGGGACAACGGCGGCGCCTGTCCCCGCAGTGTTCGCCCAGCCCATCGTGAGCAAGGCGAAACCGGAGCTGCTCCGCTCCCACTTCATCCCCACCATGGAGAAGCTGAAGAAGCGGGCGGGAAAGGTGGTGTCCGAGGAGGAGCAGCTCCGCATGGAGGCCAAGGCGGAGGCCGAGGACTCGGAGCTGCTCATCCGCGACGAGTTCTCCGTGCTCTGCCGCGACCTCTACGCGCTCTACCCGCTGCTCATCCGCTACGTGGACAACAGCCGGTGAGGGACCGCGGTGGGGACACCGCATCTGCCAGGGCTTGGGGACACCACATCTGCTAGGGCTTGGGGACACCGCATCTGCCAGGGCTTGGGGACACCACATCTACCGGGGCTTGGGGACACGGAGCCCAGCTCCATCCCTGGTGCCACCAAAGGGAGCAGGGGCGCGGGGAGAGCCGGGTGGCCCTTCGCGGTGGCCCCGTGGGGACAGGGGCGCTTCGAGGACCCGCTCACGGTGGCCGTGCGACGCTGGCAGGGCCAAGTGGCTGACGGAGCCCAACGCGGACGCGGAGGAGCTTTTCCGCATGGTCGGGGAGGTCTTCATCTACTGGTCCAAGTCCCATGTGAGTGGGGACACTGGGAGCCCCGTGGGGGTGGCCGGAGGGGCACCGGGACACGGAGGGGACGGGGGACGTCACCGTGTCCCCACTGCAGAACTTCAAGCGCGAGGAGCAGAACTTCGTGGTGCAGAACGAGATCAACAACATGTCCTTCCTGGGGGCTTGGGGGCCCCATATCTGCCGGGGCTTAGGGACATCACATCTACCGGGGCTTGGGGACACCTCATCTACCGGGGCTTGGGGACACCGCATCTACCGGGGCTTGGGGACACCACATCTGCCAAGGCTTGGGGACACCACATCTGCCGGGGCTTGGGGAAACCACATCTACTGGGGG